GGTAGAAATTGGACGTGAGATAGCGTTGGATGGGACACACTAATAGTGTTGTAAAAATGCAAGTGTTTACAGAGATTTATTTTTATTTTAAATGCTTTGCGTTTTAAAATCAACTGTCTGTTCAGTAGTCGCTATATCATGACACAATTTAATTTGTCGTGCTTAAGTGATAAAAAGAAGTTGCAAATGTTGTACAAAATAAATATCACCACCACTCATCTAAAACGTGCAACACTTTGTTTTTCCGCGAATAGCGCTCAAGAGTGTGGATTTAGTGTGCGTTAAGGGCACTGCGCTTTGGCATTTTTAAGACCTGGGTGAGTGAGTGAGTGAGTGAGTGAGTGATTCGACAACTCTTTCCTAAATGCAATTATTTGTTTTGTTCCTGAATGAATCAATGTTTTGAACAAATCAGTTTGTAGAAAGAGTGACTGAAACATTCTCAACACTAATGCTTCTACTAACATCTGTCTGGAACGCGCAAACACATTCAGAGTGATACAAACAACCGAATGTCCCATTGCTGTTGAAATAAATGTCTGGTCAAACGTAATTTATAAAGACGCAAAGCCATTTTTTTCCCCACTTATTCTTCTTAGTCTTACATACAGTAGATTATACACAGACGTAATACATGGACACTCGTGCAGTGACAGGGTAGATTGCTGTGATGAGAGACACACCACCCAAAACAAAGACAAAAATGAAGCAACAGACCCACAAATATTTCTTAAAACAGGATGTAGGTCTATGATAAACACAGCTCCTGGCTTTAAACAAATCTTCCTTCAGTGTGTGGTCCTCCTGAAGTCTGAGAGGAGGGAGGCGCTCATAAACGTAAGAGGTGGCCCGTTAATGTGTGTGTGTGTGTGTGTGTGTGTCTGTGTGTGTGTGTGTGTGTGTGTGTGTGCAGCATCTGCCCGTCCGTACGGGATGATGTGTTCCTTCTCCGGACACAGATTTCTGTCTGATTTGTCCAGCTTCACTCATGATGAGTCATTATCTGTTTCCTCCTCCACCCACAGTCCTGCAGCTGAGACTCCAGCAGAGGAGGACGCGAGAGCAGCTCGCTGACCAGGGCATCATGCCTCGTGAGTAACACCAGCACTCCTCTGACTACATCACACTGCATTATGGGTACCTGACAAATGAGCGAACCGCTTTCATGGCACCGTAAGATCTGCACTACAGTCACACACTCACACCTGTTAACATTTACATAGAAGAGCCCCGTTCACACAGCTGGATCTGGCACACACGCACACCGGGCACAGAACGCTCTCAGAGTTTATCTGCCCATGAGAGGAACGATAATAAACAGATGATCAGGCAAAGCAGCTTCGCTTTATAACCTGAAAATGAGATCAAGGACATTCTGCATGCTTCAGTTTCAAGTTTTTTTTTTTTTAGTTTTTAAGCGATAACATACAAGTGTGACCGTAGTAAAATGAATAAATAAATAAAAATGTATTGTGTGTGTGTGCAGCATCTGCCCGTCCGTACGGGATGATGTGTTCCTTCTCCGGACACAGATTTCTGTCTGATTTGTCCAGCTTCACTCATGATGAGTCATTATCTGTTTCCTCCTCCACCCACAGTCCTGCAGCTGAGACTCCAGCAGAGGAGGACGCGAGAGCAGCTCGCTGACCAGGGCATCATGCCTCGTGAGTAACACCAGCACTCCTCTGACTACATCACACTGCATTATGGGTACCTGACAAATGAGCGAACCGCTTTCATGGCACCGTAAGATCTGCACTACAGTCACACACTCACACCTGTTAACATTTACATAGAAGAGCCCCGTTCACACAGCTGGATCTGGCACACACGCACACCGGGCACAGAACGCTCTCAGAGTTTATCTGCCCATGAGAGGAACGATAATAAACAGATGATCAGGCAAAGCAGCTTCGCTTTATAACCTGAAAATGAGATCAAGGACATTCTGCATGCTTCAGTTTCAAGTTTTTTTTTTTTTAGTTTTTAAGCGATAACATACAAGTGTGACCGTAGTAAAATGAATAAATAAATAAAAATGTATTTTTTGTATTGATGTTTAGTTCATATGGTTTTCAGCAAATTCTATACCATTTTTAATTTTTTCATTCATATTTTTTTAAATATTTGTTTGTTTGGGTTTTATTTATTTATGCATGCATGGAATTTTAGGAATTTAATTATTTAATCGTCCTCTTTCATCATCATGATTTCAAAATATAGAAATTAATTTAATTCAGACATCACAGAAGAGCGGATTTCAGGTCAATTTATGTATGAAGTGCATTTATGAATTCTTTTTGAATAAAGGACCATTGAGCATATATTTTTAAAGCATTGTAAAATGATTCATAGCTAAACACACAAAGATATTAAAGAAAACAGCTTCTAAAATATACCGCAGCCTTACCGGTGTACCGGTTTCATAAATATACCAGTATCTCTATTCAAATACAGTCATAACTGTATATTTTGCTTGCCATTAGGTGTTTTAATTGAACTGTTGACCGGTCTGTTGATGTAATTCAGTCGCTGGAGTCTGGATTTCAGCAGGTCTGCTGGAGATAAACCACAGATCTGTGACCGAGTCTGAGCTCCTAAAAAAAACTTTCAATGGCTGTTTATCTTTTTACAGCAGACAACAGGTCGGCAAACTCAGATAAACCGCTTTTAAATAGGTGCTGATCTACATGCATGTGGGAAAGCATAGTTATAGAAAAAGTGTTTCGAAAATGCATGTTTTCTTTGCTTTTTACTGCCTGCTCGTGTCATGTTTTATTCCGTGTGACTTATGACAATTGTTCTAGTGTTTGTTTTATTAACGTATGGCAGTATTTCATGAGGAGTACGTCCAGCAGAAAGCAGACGATCTAATGCTAAGAGCTAGAGCTCTCTCATAAATCAGAATGCACCTTACATTTCAAAGGCTGGAATTAGGCAATTGGTTGCATTCTTCGGAGGTGATATTTCAGTCTTCGCTGTGGTTTTGCACATATGCAGTGTGTGTACATTTCTCTGAGCACATCTGCTCTTCATTAGACGGTCAGGCGTGTGTCTGAGGAGCCGCCGCTCCTTTTTCTTCTTTGACTTCTGTAGTAATGTAATGATACTGTATGTGTGTGCAACCTTTTCAAGAACCATTGAAACAAAAAGTAATCGATTTTAGACTGACAGAGACAGAAAGTAAAGCCTATGAGCTATTAGCGCAAAAAGTGAAAGAAGTCATTTTAAAGACAAAAACATCATTTTAAATTAAATTAGCATTTAATAATATATATTGTAATGCATGTAGATAAAATATTATTCAGTGCATACGTGCCATGGTCTGCATTCAACAAATAAATCATGGAATTATTCATATTTTTTTTTGTTTGTTTGTTTGTTTGTTTGTTTCGAACAACTGGGACAGTAAACAGAATTTTCTTTTTCGGGTGAACTACCCCTTTAGGTTACATTTACTTGAGATGCAAAATTGCACAATATATTAAGAATTGTTTTTAGAGAATATGTCAGAATACATTTAAATAGAATGGATGGTATTTTTCATTTCTTATTGCCTTTTAAAAAATACATTTTAAAAACAAAGAAACCTAAATGAAATAAAAATATATTTGTTAGATTTATGCTTAAAAAATTCCCAAGAGTCTTTAGTTAATTTAATATTAATTAAAATTAAAAAATAATATTAATATTAAATATTAGATTTGTATAAAGATGGTAAAGATTTAACATAAAAAAAAACTAATCAAATTTTTTGCAGTGGATGTCTGACACAGAACAGATTAATGTGATGAATAGCATGCAGAAAGAGTGATGGATTGCAAAATGTTTTGTAAAAATTATATTTTGTATATGTGTCTTGTATACCTTTTTGTGTGCTTTTATTTTGAAATGGTTGAGATGTTCTTGTGTTGTCTGGATCATTTGTAGTCGGTTAATGTTGTAATGTTTGGTTTGTCTACGTTTCTTTGTCTTTTTCCTGTTCCATGATGTGATCTAGATTCTAGTATGCAATGAACGGCTGCAGTGAGATCTTGAGACACACCTGAGCAGAACTTCTGTAGAAACCCTTATAAATGTTTCCAATAACATAACAATAAGTCAGCCGTGTGTTGAATATCAATGTCAGACCTCAGATTACCCAACAGCTGTGCTGATCAACAACAAAATAATCATACGTTTCTACCTATTTTGAAGAAAACATGAGTGATGCTCATCTGTGTCAAAACGTATAATGCTAGTGTGTTGTTGTGATATTTTGGAATGTTTGTGATTTAGTTTCACTCAGAAAACAACTGCAAGCAGCACTAAAATAAAAGCTGAAACAAGTGCGTCTGTATCAGTCAGACGGTTGATTCAGGACTATAATTCAGCTTTAGCAGAGAAACACGGGCCAGATCAGATGCTGGCAGGGATGATTTATGTAAGATTCATTGACAGTGTGTTCACAGATAAACCATCACATTTACTCCGTTTCTCATTTGTTTTTCCAGCCTTGAAGAGTCCGGCTGCGTTCCACGAACAGAGGAAAAGTCTTGAGCGATCCAAGGTTAGAAGAACCAAGCAACGATATAGCAAAGAATCACGCAGCACACACCATCAACAGCTCCCTGCCGCACCAGAAATCATTTTGACTGAGAAATGATTACAAATAGCATCATTTTCTGACATCAATACTAGTTCATTGTCTAGTAATTACTTGTCTTGCTCAAATCAAGTCATTTATTTGGACTTTATAAACTACAGATCAAAGCAGGATAATATGATAAACAGGAAAATAACAGAAACAATAATGAAATAATGAAACATCATCAAACGAATTTAATTTCAGATGTAAAGCAGCTTTACAGAAGACAATTGAGTTAATATTCAGATCAATTCAGTTCAAATGAACCCTCTGGTGTTGTTCAGTCATTTCTTTTTTCATTGGAATGGTATGAAACTAAACCAAGATTTTGGCATTTGCTATGTGAACAAAACAAAAATCATTTTCAGGTCTATGCTCAAAAAGTGGCTTACAGGATCATAACTATTCCATAAATATGATTTAGTGCCATTAAATCCCTTAAAAATACAAACAAAAAAAAATACAAAAACATTATCATACTAAAAAATAGTACATTAATTTAATAAAAAATCTGTCATTTCTGACCGCCACGAAGACAACACCAGAGGGTTAGTGTAAATGATGCAAAGTTCATCAGTTATGAAACTAATTTGATTCAGAATGATTGTGAAAGTGTGTGAAAATCCAACTCATTATATTTAATGTTTTATAATATTTGGCGTTGCAGACTGGAGATTATTTAAAACACAAAATCAGAAGTCGACCAGAGAAATCAGAGCTTGTCAACATGCGTATTCTACAAGGTAAGAGCTTTAAAAAATAGTACACTGAATAAAAAAATGATGCCGAAACAATTTTGCCTTTTTTAGTTTTCACAAATAATTACAAAGAATAACAAGTAACACACTGAATTGAATAGTATTTTCCTGTAAAACATGCTCCAATAATGTATGTTTCATTTACGGCTTTAAAAAATATTTTTTACCGTGTACATACACACAGAATGATTCAGATAACATTATAACATTGATTTGATTGCATGCTGTGAGTGTATCATGTTGTCAGCTGCACGGCTTGTGACATGATAACTGCTTATTCTCAGCGCTGCATCATGTGTGTGTTTGACTGAAGAGCTGCTGTGCTGGATTAATAGTGTGTTTACTGCAGAACCCGCCGCCGAAAGTCCCGCACACGACTCACAGACCAAACTAAAGCGAGCCAGACTGGCCGACAACCTGAATGAGAGAATCGCTCTCAGACCTGGCCCGCTGGAGCTGGTGGAGAAGAACATCATTCCTGTCCATTCCACTGTTAAAGAAGCAGCTATGAAAGGTATCGGAGCAAAGCACATCTCATTTATTTACACAGCAAAAAATGAAGTTCTTCCTCCAGTATTTGTCTTGTTTTCCAGTACAAACATCTAAACATTCTTAAAGGTAGAGTTCACCCAAAAATTAAAATTCTCTCATTATTTACTCAACAGAATTTTGTGTGTATGTTCCTGTATGAACTTTTTTTTTTCTGTTGAACACAAAAGATGAGATTTTGAAGAATGTGGGTAATAAAACTGTTGATGGTAGCCATTGACCTCTGTAGTTTGAGGGGGGGGGGA